CTGCTTTGACCCAGACCTTTCATCAGATGATTTTAACCCAGTTTGGGGCCAAAATCAAAACTCTCAAATCCAATCATGCGAAAAAATACTTTACCAAGCCACTGGCCTCTTATCTACTTGATCATGGGATTATTCACCAGAGTATTTGTCCTTATACACCACAGCAGAATGGGGTTGCCGAGAGGAAGAATAGGCACATATTGGAGGTGGCTAGAAGCATTATGTTTACCTCCAATGTGCCTATCCGTTTCTGAGGTGATGCTATTCTTACAGCAGTGTACCACATTAATCGAGTTCCTTCACGGGTTCTTGACATGAAGCCTCCGTTTACCCTTCTATACCCCGATGAAGAAGTATTTACTATTCCCCTTAAAACCTTTGGTTGCACTTGCTTTGTTCAGATTCTTGGACCTCATCGTTCCAAATTTGATCCTAAGGCCTCCAAATGCATTTTTCTCGGTTATGCACAAACTCAAAAGGATTATTGCTGCTATGAACCTACTTCCGGGAGGAGATTTGTCTCGATGGATGTTATTTTCTTTGAGGAGGTACCCTATTACCCTAGGGTTTCTCCTCAGGGGGAGAGTAGTGAGAATGGGGTTTGTGAGAGTGGGGTTAACTCATCTGAAGTTCCTTTACCCATTCCATTGAGTGATGAAGGATGTAATGGGGAGGGTTGTCAGAGGTGTCAGGATTTGAGAGTATCACAAGCGGTGGAGGCAGGTTGATTTCGGTCATCAGTAATCCAAGCCATCCCCAGTTCCTTCTGCGGATCCAGATCCAGGTCCTACTGAGATACCTTCCACTATTGCTGAGATACCTTCCACTGTTGCTACTTTGCCTTCTTTGGATGACCTTGACCTCCCTATTGCAGTCCGTAAAGGCAAACGGCATTGCACCATATCCACAGCTCACTGCATTTCCCAGTTTCTGTCCTATTATCGCCTGTCTCCCTCTTACAGGTCCTTTCTCGCATCCATTGCTGATATTCCCAGAACAGTGCAGGAAGACTTGTCAGTTCCTGAGTGGAAAGGAAAGATGCAATGAAGGTTGAAATGGATGCCCTTCTGAGGAATAATACTTGGGAGCTAGTTGACCAACCTAAAGGAAAGAAACTGGTTGGATGTAGATGGGTATTTACTGTGAAACATAATGTTGATGGTTCCATTGAAAGGTATAAGGCCCGGTTAGTTGTAAAGGGATTTACTCAGACTTATGGTATAGACTACTTGGAGACTTTTGCTCCAGTAGCAAAGATGACCACTATTCAAGTTCTATTATCCCTTGCAGCCAGTTATTCTTGGCCCTTGTTCCAGATGGATGTTAAAAATGCCTTCCTCAATGGAGACTTACAGGAAGAAGTCTACATGCAGTTACCTCCTGGATTTTATGATGCAGAGACAGGTAAGAAGGTTTGCCGGTTGAATAAAGCCTTGTATGGACTAAAGCAGTCCCCCAAGGCTTGGTTTGATAGATTCAGACAAGCCCTTGAAAAAATCGGTTATATACAGGCCCAGTCAGACCATACATTGTTCATTAAAAGAGCGGACTCTTCCTTGACCTTGCTTGTTGTATATGTAGATGATATGGCAGTGACAGGGAATGATAACAGTGAGATTGAGTCTCTTAAACAACTCCTTCATCAAGAGTTTGAAGTGAAAGATCTAGGAAAGCTACGATACTTCTTGGGTATTGAGGTTGCTAGATCTAAACATGGGATCTTTATTTCTCAAAGGAAGTATGTTCTAGATCTATTAGTAAAAACTGGAAAGTTGGGTGTTAAGCCTGCAGATACACCCATTGAACAGAATCACAAGATCAGTGCAGAGGGTGGAGAGCCTCTTGAAGACAAAGTTATATTCCAACGGTTGGTTGGAAAACTCCTCTATCTTTGTCTCACACGACCGGACATTAGTTATGCAATCAGCGTTGTCAGTCAATACATGCACTCTCCTAGAACTACTCACCTCCTTGCAGTTGAGAGGATATTAGCATACTTGAAGAGATGTCCAGGTAGAGGTATATTATTCAAGAATAATGATCACATGAAAATAGAGGTCTATATAGATGCTGATTGGGCTGGGAGTGTTGATGACAGAAGGTCTACCTCTGGATATTGTGCCTTTGTAGGAGGTAACCTTGTCTCCTGGAGGAGTAAGAAACAAAGTGTTGTTTCTCATTCTAGTGCTGAAGCTGAATATAGCCCTTATTTGAAGTCATTATTTGAAGAGTTGGGTATTGATTATGAGAAGCCCTTAATGTTGTATTGTGATAATCAGACTGCTATTAATATAGCTCATAATCCGGTACAGCATAACAAAACTAAGCATATCGAAGTCGATCGACATTTTGTCAGAGAAAGGGTTGCGTCTCAAGAAGTATGTCTTCTGTATATCACCTCCAGCATGCAACTCGCAGATTTTCTCACCAAGGCTGTTCCAAGGAAGAAATTAGAGGCAAACCTATGCAAGTTGGGAATGACAAATATCTATTCCCAACTTGAGGGGGAGTGTAGA